GATGATGATGATGATGATGATGATGAAGATGAAGATGAAGATGAAGATGATGATGATGATGATGACGATGATGATGAGGATGATGATGCTGTGCACCCACTCTCCTTTCAGTCATTTACAATTGTGGAAACACCGAGGGTGTGATTTCACGGCCGACACTTCTCATCACCGGGAGTCATTTTGAAGTCGGCATCAAAGCGTTTACATAAATATCTACAACGTTTCACACAACCGTGCAGCGGTAGTTGGGGTTACTGGTTACGCTGGAACCATCCGTTTTGACCACCGTGAGCTTGGAGGAGTGCTGGGAGCTGTGCGGGGCGTTTCTGCGACAGAGGCGGTCGCGATAGTTCTGGGCGAAGATGAGCAGCATGAGCGGGTTGATGCAGCTGTGGGAGTAGCTCAGGCAGATGCTGATGTGGTAGACATATACGAAGGTGATGGTGGGCGTGTTGTTGCTCAGGTTGATCACTTGAATGACATGGTAGGGCGACCAGCAAATCAGGAACAATGCAATTACCATCAGCACCATCTTGGTGGCCCGTTTAGCCCAAACCGTCTGCTTGCGTTTGACGCGGCGGACGGAGCTGAAGACGTGGTAGAGGGTGAGGGAGTAGAAGGTGCTGATGATGATGAGAGGAATGATGTAGCCCAGGATGGACTGGTAGAAGGTGTACCAGTACATGTCCTCGGGACCGTCCAGCCACATCATGCACACCTCCATGTGCTGCTTGCGCTCCACCCTGGCGTACATCATGACCGGCACGGTGAGGAGGAAGCTGCCCACCCACACCAGTGTGTTGATTATGATGGTCCAGTGGATGGTCCTCTTCTCTGAGGTGGGGTGGACAATGGCTATGTACCTGCAGGGGGAAAAAAGAAAATAGTTTTTCCGTTGCATCCCAATTTTCCAATCAAGCAATTCTTAAAAAATAAAACATCTCAATTGTCAACAATGGGCTTGGTTTGAACCAATCAGGTGGCGGGAAGTCATTGCACGTATCACCGTGTCATGTAGATTCTTTGACCGATTGTGACTCACAACAATCGTAACCAAAGAACAAGAGCAATAACCTTTGACTGGCGCCCCCTGTCTCATAAACATAATTTATTTGTGGACAAAAGAGATTTATGTTTATGTCATTCAGAAACCAGTTATTTCTGAATGATTTCTTGTCATTTATTGAATTCTATAAAATGGTTGTTTAACATTGGATTTGAAGTACACTTCATAAAGCTTGTACTGATGTGTGCATTGGCCAAATGGAATGAATGAATCGTCAAGTACGTGAACACGTGACGATGAAAAGGACTTGAGTTGAAGTTCAAGTCAGGAGGTCATCCTGAACGGAGATCAGCGTGAACAAGAGGCGTGTCATAGACACATGCACAATAAATGACATGCTCCGTCCGGCCATTACTGCTCCACGGCTGCAGGAAATTTGCAAGAAATATCGACCACTCTGTCACCACTATAGGCCAGCGCTGCTGAGGTGCAGGACAGGAATGACGCATTTTCATTGGCTCACAGCGGGTAACGAGCCTCACCGTGTACCAGCGTGTTTTTTTGCCGGACACGCTGCTGTTCTTCAATTACTTGAAACCGTAATGGTTTTTGACAACCTCTTTATGGAGTGAAGCCACTGCCCATAGTTCAGGCTCGATAAATACACCTTCAGACCCGACAGTGGAATCAATAGGAGCAGATCTATACGTGACCTCTGACCCCTGGCTGTGCTCAGTCCGTATGCGCCAAGTTGGATAATCATACCTTCAAAAACTTACGCCAACATCTGCTGTCAGAAAAAAAAAAACTTCAGCCGAGCTCATCTGTGTTGACGTGGCTGCATTGATCATGTCCGCTCTAGAGATTATTGATCGGCTTAATGCAGGTTAGATAACATAAAATAATAATAACTGATTACTTTGAAGCACCTGCACTGAGAACGTGGTTCAAGAAACCTTAAAAAATAAATACAGAGGAACCTCCAACGCCTCTCTTTTCGAACAATTTTCAAACAAAATTTTTAACCAAAAATTACCCGTGTTTGTCGTACAAACACTCGAAAATCAGTGATCACTGAGCGTGTGGCGTCGGTCTAGCATCAGGCGGCATTTATAACTTTGTTCTTCATTCAGTTGTGTTTGTTTTTTTTTCTTCGATCTAATTATTTTTCGTTGATTTCGTGTATGAACTTGTCCACAAATTACTGATGAAAAAGTTTGTATTAGCAGTCACCTGGGGTCCAGGAATGGATTCATCCATTTTACATTGATTCTTTATGGGGAAAATGGTTTCAGTTTTTGGACTTTTCGGTTTACGAACGGCCTTCAGGAATAAATTAATTCAAACTTTTCAGCTCACGAACGGCCTTCAGGAATAAATTAATTTCGAAAACCGAGGTTTGACTGTGAATAGAAAATGAACATACGTTCAACACAGATTTCCCACATTGACATCCTTGGTTTCACCCTCGCTGCACGAACATACATACGTTCAACACAGATTTCCCACTTTGACATCCTTGGTTTCACCCTCGCTGCTGGGATTGTGAAAAGCATCACAGCTATGTCCATAAAAGTCCATGAAATGAGGTTATAAAGCTCAGTGAAATAAAGCAGACACAACATTTTCACTCGTATGGATTTGAAACAACACATAGTTGGCTCGGCCCCGACGGTTTTCTTTATTGTTGTTGGGATTTTTATCTTTTAAAGATGATCCTAGGTAAAAAAAAAAAGTTTTTTTTTTTTTCACCCAGGCTGCACTCTGTGGGATGAGGTGCAGAAAAACAATGTGTTTTTGTTTTTGTAGCAGCCAGTGGGCTGTGGTCAGAGGCTCTGTTGGTGGACTGTGGGGTGAATGGCTAAAGCAGCAAATACTGTAGTGTAGGAGGGAAAGTCAAAAAGTCATTTATGAAAATAACAGGCTGTTCCTGTACATATCCTCCATTGAAGTCGAAACACGTCCATTTTCATTTTGTTCAATTCCATTTTTTCATGTTCCTGCAGCTTAAGGAAATGAAGAAAATCTCTTATAGAAAGCTTAAATAATTTAGACAAGATTTCCTTTCAAGTCGGAGTTACAACTTTGATGTTTGCTCTGGTTTTTTTTAATGTTTACTCTTTTACACAGCTCAACATTCGAGAGCAGTTTAAGCACTCCGAGCGGAGATGCCTGAGAGACGTGAAGAAACTCTTTAAATTTATTCAAACCAGAGACTGAGGGAGTTATAGATGTGATTGAAGATTTGAAAAAAAAAATCTCAGAACTTTTTGACCCAGAGTCTCTTTGCGCTGCTACAGATGTATCGTTTATGACAACACATTTTTGCACTTCAAAAAGCCTGGTTTGTACAGCAGGGTCTGCAGCTGTCAGTGGAATATTCAATGACTAAGCATTTGCTGACTCATCATTTCTGACTTTTTTTTTTTTGTTTAAATTGTTAGTTCTCCAAAATCAGCTTTTCAGGTGAGAACGTCTTCCGACTCTCACTGTGAACTGAAACAAGTTTTGTATTTTTACCCACCTTATTTTGAGAAACCCCTGCTGTAACGTAGCGCTGGTTAAATATGGCAAAAATCATAATTATTTTGATTTGATTTTTTTTTTAATTTTAGAGACAAATATGAAAATAATGTCAAAAATGTCACAGTCTCTGGAGACCTCTGACCTTTGACCTACAGTAACACTGACTCGGATGGAACCGAATTCAGACTGTCTTGGTCCAGCACTGGACAAATCTGCAGTTTTCCTAAATCCCACGACCCATCAAATCCATCAATGCAGCCCACTTTGTGCATGCGAGCCACCACTTGAGCAACACTAAAATAAAATAACCCAATAAAAGCTACAGGTCAGTGTAACGGTAAATGTACTGTATTAACGATGCATTCAGACCATGATGTTCAATGTATTTTTTTATATTGCTCTTCTTTTTTTAAACATATAATTCAATTTATTTATTTTTTCTGATTATTTAGTCGATAATGTCCTCCTCTGTTGCGTCCTTTATGTTTCTAATGTCAGTCAGGTTTTTCCCATAACCGTCTCCCTGCTGTTACATCACTAATCTGAACCAGTTGACTCTGTGGACAAATCAGCCTTCCTCGGACAAATCACTACTTTGGCAAATTTTAAAAAATACTCAAAAAAAAAAAAAACTAAATTCAAACCCGGTTCCTTCTAGAACGTTCCTCTCTGTTTTCTGCAGCTCTAATTTGTGTGTCGACAGTTTCCTGCCGTGGCCAGCATGTCCTTGGCTGATTTCTTTTTTTCTAATGAAGCCAATGACTGAACCTTAAAAACACATTTTTTTATAAACGCCGGGTGGAAACCACTTTATCTACAACAAAAACTCAAAAGAGATCGAATCGTTTTTCATTTTTTTATGCTCATGACTCGTCCGCCTCTGCACTCTTTACTTCACTTCCTCGCTTTTTTCTTCTTTTCTTCACTTTTATTTTCCTTCTTTTCCTGCTGTATTTGCAGCCTTCTGTGCTGAAGTGTCCTTCACCTGATGTGTTAAAGTTGTTGACCCTGTTGTTGCCAAACATTTTATTATTCACCCGTCGGAGTCACATTCAGGTTGAACTCGATTTTTTCCACCGTTGGAGACTGATTTGGTAATAAAAATAAAATAAAAGTTTTACTTTTTGTGTTGAAATAGCTTAGAATCACACGCAGATGTGACTTTTATTTTTAAAAAATGTTTACTATTTAAACTATAGTTTCTGATTTTTAATTTGCTCTCTTATAAATTAATTTCCCTATATATATTTATTTATATATTATATATTTTTATTTCCACCTTTCCAAGAGACTTTGAGGACAGAGGAAAAACTTTGTGAACAGTCATCACATCCCTGACTTTTTCCACTTACCGATCAATGCACAGCACAGTAACAATCCCCACGGTGGTGAACTGGTTACTGACGTCCACCACCACAACCGCTTTACACATAAAGTTCCCAAAGACCCACTGTCTGTCCCTGACCAGCTGGTGGATGTTGAAGGGCATCACCAGCAGGAACAGCATGTCGGCTATGGCCAGGTTCAGCACGTAGATGTCGGACACCATCTTCTTCTTGCACGCCGCCACCGCGTAAATGACCAGTCCGTTGGCAATCACTCCGACCGAGCACAGGATGCCGTAGATGGAGGGGAAGATGTGCATGAAGGTGGTGATGTCGATGTGGTTGTACGTCGGCCGAGTCGAGTTCAGACATGACGGCTCTGTCATGTTGTCCGACTGGTTGCCTTTGCAGAACACCCCGGAGTCGTTCATCTTCGGGTCCTCGTTCCAGACGCGCGCGCGCTCCGCTTCCCAAAGTTGGACAGCAGATTTACGCACTCTCCAAGTGCGCGCACTCCCTGCTGGACGGCAGCGGTTCTCCTCTGAAACTCAAATATAAAACCCCAGCGACCGGAGCACGGGCTCCAGGCTGATCATCTCAGCCGTGTGACTCTGTGAAGACAAACTGCAGCAGAATAACTGCGCGTTTCTGCCGTGCGCCTCAGCAGGAGCCGTGCGCCTCAGTGGGTCGTAGCTCCCTCCCATTAAAGACCATTAGTGGTGTCATAAGAGACGAGCTGCCCCTCCACCACCACCACCCCCTCCCTGAGGGGTGAAGTGTGAAGAAACAGCCACATGTACTCCTCTGACTCTGAAGTCACAGCACAACAGCTCTGCTGTCACTTAAGGAAACTTTATTTTCTGTGAAATCGGCGACATGTTGCGAAGCTAATTGTAAATGTGTTAGAGGTTAGCGTAAAAATGATGAAGCCTTAACGGTCATATGTCAAATTACAGGAAGTGAAAAATATCCTTGGGGACCAGTTGCACTAATGCACACACTCCAGCCCAGTAGGTGGCGGTAATGCGTCCAAATTTTTTTTTTTTTTGCTAGCCACAAAGTTTTTTTGTTTGAAGAAATATTTTTTTAGTCACCTCGGTACTTTAAGCCGACACTATCACCAAACACGTTGGGAACTAGCAGTGGAGGTAACATTAGCTATGCTAGCCCTGTGCTAACTGTGCTGCTTTTAGTGATAAATATGATGCGCAATAATCTTGGAATTATAAACTTTGCTCATTGAGTCAAATATTAAAATGACATGAACTGAGAAAATTAATGACATCAATTGATAAACCCTCTAATCCAGGGGTGTCAAATATATGGCCCCCGGGCCAAATCCGGCCTGATTAATTAATTTAAAAAAATACAAAAAACACCTTCAGGTTCAGAGAATGCTTTGTAAAACTATATTTCATTAAAATATGAACATTTTTAATGTATTTTTTGCATGAAAAGTAAGGGGAAAAAAGCCTCAAACTTTGAGTTTGAGACCCCTGCTGTAATCAGATTTTAATCAGATTCAAAACATTAAATCCAAAGACATTTACATCATTGATTGAGCTTCAAAAGATAAAAAGATGAAACCTCATTTTTGCCTTGATTCCAAATAGATAATTAAAAAAAATAAACACATTATAATTGATCTGATTTCACAGACAACTTTGTTTGAAACGGACCAATCAGCTAATGTTTTCTCCACTGCGTGTGGTCGTAAGCAGGTACTGCACCAGTCGGTTTAACTTTTAAGAAGAAACTCTTCTTTTGGGGCGATCAGCTGTTAAGGTCACTTCTTTAATGGTGAAAAGGCCCTGAGGGCTGTGGAGTAGACCTAATACCCTGATCTGATTTTCTGTGCAGCTGCTCTTTAATACGGTCGCTTTAAAGAACGCTGGCTGAGTCGGAGTGGAGTGCTTGTTAGACAGCTGAGCTGCTGACCACGGAGAGAGGGGAGATATTGAAGTTTTCCACATGGCCCCGGGAAAGGTTTGCTCATTCCCTATGATGTCTCCTCTCCATACTGCCCTCAATAATATCATTATTGTCTCCCCAGTCTTCGTACTGCCCCACGCTGCAGACCTTCAGAGGGGACGTGGACCAAGTGGCCACCCCAACACTGCTGTTGTTTATTTTTCTAATTTATCACTGTATATTTGACAGTGTAGCCTCACAGAGTGAAGTTGTCTCCCATACAGAGACTCTTTTGTCTCTTTGGCCGTGACTCATCTCGATGGCCGCAACCAAATCCGCTGGCATTCGTCATCCAGATGTTGTCAGAATGCATTGAAGGTTTGTCGGAATTTATTTGCCCCAATACGTAGGGTCACCTACTGCAAATGTCCAGAGCCACCTGTGTGTACTTTCTACAGAACCCCGACCTCGGTGTTGTGACGTTCTTAGAAACCACCGTCTGAATGGAACCATCGATGGCAGGGGTGTCAAACATACGGCCTGCAGGCCAGAACCGGCCCGCTGGGGGGGGTTCAATCTTGTCCACTTGATGAATTTTGAAAGTGAACATGTTTGTGCAGTTTTTGTTAATTTTGTTACTTGTACTTGTTTGCAGGAAAACAAAGTGCGAAAACGTGGACTTATTGTAATTTACAGGTTATTCTATGATTGTACTGGTCTGGTCCACTCGGCGTCGTATCAGGCCGTATGTGGCCCCTGAACCAAAATGAGTTTGACACCCCTGGGTGGTCCCCAACCTGTTTTCTATTAAGGCCCGGTTGATTGGTCCTGGCCAGTACCTCACAAATCATCAGAGCTGTTGTGCTGCACAACATTGACGACGCACAGCGGCAGGTGCGTCGTCAGGAAACCACATTACAAAGCTGTCATTTCCAGCGGCAGCCACTTAGCTGTGTTTGCGTCATTGTTTTCCGGCACGATCCGGTCTGAGATCATAGCTTTAATCAAAGCATTTCACTTCGTCTCCCAGAGCGCTGACGTCTGGAGAGACCCAGCGAAACTTGAGCGCAGCCCCTTGACTCTTCACTCTTCACTCTGACGACAGTCGCCTGCGGCAGCTCCTGGCTGCCGGAGCTTTGACTGAAGCTGTGCATGGCCCTGGGCTGCAGCGTGCTCTGCTGCCTGCTCCGTCAGCTCTGGGTGTCTTTATTATTGAGCAACTCTTTGTAGATGTCTTTCTGTGTCCTCTCACGGTGATGAGTGGGACAGACTTTCTGGTGTTTTGTAAGAAACACATTTGTGTTGTTTAAGTGTTTTATACATGTATTATTCCGGATTCATCTAATTTTTTTTTTTGTCGTTTGATTTGAATGGGCAGAGCAAAAAACTACTGTATTTTCTGGATTATAAGTCGCAGTGTTTTTCATCCTTTGGTTAAGTTTTGTGCCTTATACTCAGGTCTGACTTATATATTGAAATATAAAATTTTACATGTTTGATATTCTCATACTGACAGCCATTAGAGGGCACTGACTGATGCAACGTATTCTTTGGAGAAATATGGTGCTACAAATTCATTAAAGTCTTGAAAGATTAGCTTTTAATTTATCATTATTATTATTATTTCAATCTAAAATATTGCCTTTATTGTCAGAATGATTAAATATTAGCTTCATTTAGAAAATATATATTTACACAATTTAATCAACGTGTCCAAAAAACTCTCAAAAAACATTTTTTACTGCAGTTTTATGTGTTTTCCTCTACATCTGGGCCCTAAAAAGTTATAATTATTCAGAAATGAGCATTTAGCCCAACAAATATCTGAATGTTTACTTTACTTTAATCAAAGTTTCTCCTAAACTATAGTTTCCTCCGTTTGGAGCTCAGACCAAATCCACAGCTGCTGGCGCTGACTAATAGCCTGATTATTACCGGCCACGTAGTCGGCCCCATCAACAGACGACTTGATGAGGAGATGCTGCTTCGGAGAGACAGAAGTAATTTAGATGCATAAATTAAGAAGGAAATGGAATGCTTTTCAAGAGCAACACCCCAGAGTTTTGTCAGCTTGAAAGTGGGATCCATTGTGATGTTTTCATCCTGTCTCATCTGGGATCAGTTAGTGTTTGTTTCCAGGCGAAGGCGGGAAACGAGTGGTGATGGAATAATGATGCAAAACTCCGCCGCGGAGAGAGAAGCCAACGTCATGAAATAGTAAATTTGACAAACAGCATGACCTTCTCCGCCGCCCATTACAGTCAGACGGTCAGAATCACAGTTATTACAACCTTTCATCTTCATCTCTTGACTGGAGAAATGGGAAGTAATTGGAGCGTTGGTGTTTCTGAGGCACGTGTTCAGGCCTTTAAAAGGCTCCAGAGAGATGTTCTACAAACTGGAAACATCTTCACAACACAGTCTGGGAAATACTTTGCTTTCTCTGAAAGTATTTATTATATTACAGCAAAGCAAAATCACATTTTTAACCAGGTTTTAACTAAAGAATAAATGTGTAATCTTGTGCAGTGTGGACTTATGTAAAAACATGATGATCCACACGGTGGCGTCTGTAGGAAAGACCTGCTGTCTTGACTGACCGCTGTAAAGAGCCCGCAGGTCGGCTTCTTGTGAACAGTGAGGTGAACACTTCTATTGGTTTGGTCTCTCATCTCCATGCTAACAGCTGATTGGCTCATTTGAAACCGCCACCTTATTGTGTTAAATGTTTCTATTTTAAAAGGAATCTGCTCAATCATGATTGTCGTTACTATTTTTTTTCCATTTCCATTCTGTCCCTCCACTTGCAACAATCATAAACATGGCCGCTCTCTCTCTCTCTCTCTTTCTCTCTCGGCCGCCATCGAGAACCGTGAACAGTCACAGCTTCTCCGACCATGAAAAACGGGGTTTTCTGCTGCTCCTTGTCTCCAGACCGGAACGCTGCTTGTTTCTTTCCCTCAGCAGCTGCAGACATGACTGCTGTTAGACAGGGTTAGTGGGGTCACACCTCCCATCTGCTCCGTGGACAGCACTGGAGGTCAATGTCTATTACCTGAGTGTGAAGGCGTGCACCAGTTGACTGGACGGAAAAAAACGTTTTAAAATTCAAACCTGCAAGAGGTTTTTCCAGGCAGTGAAAAATGGCAAAAGCTGAGGGAAATATGCAGTCGTTCCATTTATATTATATATATATATATATATACTACTACTATCTGTCTGTCTGTCCATTTATCTAATCTAATATTTATCTAATCTATGTATGTCACATGTAAAAACTGAACAGATCTGGACATGGTGGCTTCAGAGTCCAAACAACAGACGTCAGATACTGAAAGGAGCAGCAATTGTTAAACTAAAAATAAATAAAAATAATAATAATACCAGGCAGGAGAAATATTGATTGACTTCCCTGGTGCAATAACGCAGAGCCGAGCTAAAGGAGTGATTTTATATCACCACGAAGCCTCTGTGCGTTCTCATATCTGCATTCAAATATTGTGCTGGAAAATGATTTCAGCAAACTGATGTAGAGGGTCATGAGGGACGCTCACAGCTCCATTCAGTGGAATGGACAGAGTAATTCACATGTCATCTGTGTGAAAATCACTCGGGTTTTTTTAAAGCGTTCTAAACCGTAAATTGACATGAACTGGAAAGAGATTGGAACACAAGACTCTGCCTGACACTTTGATCGACTCGTCAGAGTCCAGTGGTTCCATGATGTGAATGGACGAAGGTCGATGCCCTGCAGAGGAAACGCGACACGTTAATAATTCATGGGAGTCCTTCAACTTAAACTTGTCGTATCTACGAACCCTCGTTTCCTGAAAAGATATGTTTATGTTGTATGTTGTCGGACAGTTTTCCTACAATCAAATTGTTTTTAAGAAATACAATATAAATAATAATAACATCATATATCGTCGAGCCCATCGAATTGCAATATAAAGCAATTTTTTGTATTGTTGCCTCTGTATTGTGATATGTATCGTATCGCCACATTGTCGCCAATATGCACCCCTAGTTAGTACCAGGTATTCAGAAGCTTTTTTGTACGTTTACGGACTCCATCGCCACATTGTCGCCAATACACACCCCTAGTTATAGAAGCTTTTTTGTACGTTTACGGACTCTTAGCATCTGTCACGATGACGACGATATTGATTATCGCAAATCGAAAACTTCTCTCTCAGGGCATCGTGGAAAGAAGAGTCAAACTGATGGCAGACACGGAGCAGCTCCAGTCCTTCTTCACCAAAAGGTCGGGCAACATCCTTCCGT